TCATGAAAATAACATATTTATGGGGGGATTTTAATAAGCCATTAAAGGCTAACATGGAAAAACAGCCCACTTTGCCAAAGAATTATGAAAATCAATTCGGCGAAAGTCATGTTTTTAAACCAAACATGGTCAAGAATAATGAACAAGCCACTGTTCATGAATTCAAATTTTTTGACATTTTTTAAAGTGTCAAAAAGTATGAATTTTCATGGTCTCATTATACCATAACTTTTGTTGTTCAAAATCCCTTTTAGATTTGTGGATCACATCAAATGTTGACTTTGATGAAATGGCTAACAAATAATATTTCGTTATTGCAATATATTGGGCCAAAAATATGGTTATTAGTTGATTCATAGAACCATCACCATTTGGTTTTTGTGGTTACATTCAAAGCATGTTATTCATTGAAATATCATTTTTATAAAATGTCAAACTAATTTCATAGTAATCCAACTCTTTGGATTTGGTTCGAAGAGATGTCGTGAGCACTTTCAAATGACGACTTTGATCCTTTAGTAACATATGTGACTTTCGAATGGTAGTTTTGTCATCAATAAACACATTCGAAATGTAACATGTGACGAGAAAACTTTCAAAATGTGTACCTCCCTTCAAATATATGTAAAATGACAATTAATTAATTGTCGAATAATGCCTATTTTTGGCATGATGATTAGTGGCTTTACTGATAACCATTTTTATAGCCATTTGTTACATGAAAATGTAACTAGAATTTTACAAAAGTTGGTTCGAAGAACAACGGGTTTGGTGTCTTCGGAGAATTAATAATTGGTTTGAATCACAAAATTAATATTTTCATTAATTATGTATGAACCAGAACATACAAAATTTGAATAACCACAATATTGGCCAAAAGTTGCTTAGAAGGTCCTTTTGCCATAATTTTGTAAGCTTCGAAGCACTCAATCTTGCATTAACAGCTTCGAAGAAACAATAATGGTGGTTGTGAACCTTCGAAGCATTGCTGAGTATTTCCAAGAATGTAATTCGTCCTTTATCGGCACTTTCGACCTTTGAAGGATGATTTTGGTCCTCGATACCACCTTCGAAGCTTGTTACTAGTCCATAATAGCTAGCATGTGTAACAGACTATTAAGGTGAATCATGTTTGAATATTGACTTTGCCTTGAAATATGAGATTTTGAATGATTCTAAATGCAAGCAACATCGACCTACTTCAAAAGGTTCCAAGTTTTCTAAGTATTTGAAGTATGAGTAAAATAAAATTGTTTAATTTCCTTCAATGGATTAATGTCAATTCAAAGTACATATATAATATCCCTTCAAGACATATATATATATATATATATAAAATTCAAGACATCTAGTCATAATTTCATACTCATTCAAAGCACTTTACTGGTGTTATTATATCATTCGAAACACTTTGTTGATATTATTTGAAGCGCTTTATTGCTTAGATTAGTCATGTGCTTAGTTCGGTCCTTCAAAAATTCAAGTAAACATCATTTTTAAGGGCTGCGGGGGGTAATGTTGGCACCATAAATCTGTAATTTTTATTATTATTTATTATTTATATAATTGCAGGGCCTGTGACATCCTCCTACTCATTTGGAGATTATCAGAAGTTATGAAATGTGAAAAAATGATGGAGAATAAAGTGGAGAATAGAGAGCATGAAGTAGAGGTTGAACGAATTTATGGAAGATCATATAGTATGAAATGGAGGAGGTGAAAGAGTGGGTAGTTTTAGGTAGTTTTTTTCTACAAATGTTTACTTATAAATAGCCATTCATGGCTACATCGTAAAAGGATCCAAAACTCAAATCAAAGACAATTGATTTATATTTTTATTGTCATTTGTATTTTGAAACATTTATTTTTAGCACTTCCTTTTTGAAGCATTTATTTTCAACATTTCATTTTCAAAGTATAGAAGTAGAGGTAAGTAATTAAATTGTTCACTCAATCATTTTTCTCCGTCTCCGTCCTTCTTTTAATTTTTATTTTTTCTACATTTGGCAATTTTGAAGTCCTCTTTGTTGAGGCAAAAGAACCGTTAACGCAATCGCTTGATAATTGAGTTGAATTTAATCTGTAAGGATTTTTCAATCTTTATTGGTACGTTCACGTTTATGATATTTTCCTTTGTAGAAAAAATAAGCCAACATTATTATTATAGAAAAGCAATGTCCACATTAATTTGAACTTTTTAATTTAAAAATATTAAATACATAGAATTAGAATATAGAAACACTGCAGGAAATGAAGGTTTTAACGGCGTTTATTTAATGGCGTTTTTTTGAACGTCACTGTTTTATAATATTTAACGGCGTTTTGCAAACGTCGCCTTTTTTTAAATGAAAACGGCACCGTTTTAATGATAGGAGGTGTTCAAAAGCGCTTTCAAATCTCTAAACACTATCTCCCTAAATGGGCCGGCCGCTGACTCACTCCTCTACACCCTCTTCCTAAGCTCTCAGTCACTCAACCCTCTCCTGATCTGTGGATGGCTCGCTCGCTCTCTCTCTCTCTCTCTCTCTCAAATACTTCCAATAGCAGTGATTCATCTCAGAATATCAATCGATCGATATCTCAACGGATCGCTCTCTTTCAAGCTCTCTCTCAACAGATCGATCGATCGAATCTCGATGATTCATCTCAGAATGACATCTCGGCGATTTCGATTTTGATTTCAAAGCGCTCTCTCTCTCGATTTCGAAGGTCTCTCTCTCGATTGCAAAGGTCTATCTGTTATGCGGAGATCAAGGCATTGAGAGAAGGCAGAAAGGTTCGGATCTACCTCTTCTCTCTCTCTATATGACTATCGTAAATCTGATTCGGTGATTCTGTTTTGTTTGTGTTGGTTCAGTGATTCTCTCTCTCTATATATATATATGTATATATATTATAACTCTCCTCTGTTTTGTTGATTTGGTTGTTGCCAAGTTTTGATTCTTTAGTGCCGAGCGTGCTGTTAGGTTTTTTATGGGGCGAATTTCAACGCATCTTCTAGAGATTTTGTGTTGTCCGAATGGAATTTACACTGCACAAGGGCTATACCTGATATTGCAGTGTGAATGGCTCATGTACAGAGGACTAGTTTTGATGAGAGGGATGTCGAGCAGGTGATGTAACTTCTCTATCTTTTTCCTTTTCTTTTCTTTCATAATTTTATTGCCAATTAGAATTTTTTTGCTTTTGTTTCCTATCTGAGGTTGCTTCCATAGCTATATGATGGGGACAACTTTAACTATTAAATATTGTAGAAGCCATTTTCACAACTTTTTAGGAGAAGAAGCAAATGTAAAAAAATCATAAACCAATTTATTGGGCCACATTGAATCTGTTATGTCTGACACAATTTCTTTCTCAATCGGAAAAATACTACACACTCACAAGACTACAAAATCAAACAATGGAGGGGCACAATGCAAGCTCAAATATACATAGTTGCCAAAAATTTACTTCAATTTACAAATTAAGACTTTAGAAATTTTTTTCTTTCCTTTAATAGCTAGAATCTGAAAGTGTGGCTTCTGTGTTGACTTGATATCCAATTGCATTGAATTTCCCATTTGAAAGTCTGCTTTAAATGCTTTCAGTTTTCTTTTCTCTGAGAGAACTAAGATGGCTGTTGGTATCTGCAACTGACGGAAATGAGTCTTGCTGGAGTTCTTAAACATAAACAAAGAAGAAAAAAGAATAGAAGAACAAAAAAATAAAAACCAACAAGAAGTCATATGAAATATTTTTCACTTTAAGGTGCAAGTCTCCATTCCAGTTTTACATTTTGACTGCCTAGGAACAATTAAAATGATTATGTGCCATTTTGAATTGTGAACAAGTAGTATCCTAGTTTTGAATATTAGTTACATGGTTAATTCCTTTGGCTTCCTCTTTGAGTTGAATGGTCCCTCTTCTTACATTGTAATCTATAGGCATCACTGAGAATATGATAGGAAGGCTGGCCTTTTGATCAAGTTTGCAAGTGTTCTTGCTTTGGAGTTGAGCGATTCCTCATTTTGATCGAGTATTTATTGTGTAGAGTAATCCAGCAGTGCATCAAGTGATTTTGTTGCTTGTGGTCCAGTGGTTCCTATGCTTCTATCTTTGCTTTGGCCTTAGACATGGGATGGATGCCCATGATTAAACACCATTTTTGGTGTAGGAAGCCCATGATTGGGAATTTCTTGTGATATCATGAAGTTTTTATTTATCTTCACATATGCTAATTTTCTTAATATTCTCCCTGTTTCCTCTTAGGGTACTTCAGTATGCTATATGCTTTTGCTAAATTATCCGTGAGTGATATGATAATTTTTTCTGTATCTTATTTTTAAATGTAGTCTATTGCAGCCTTAAAGAGGGGGGCATATCTGCCAAAGTATGGACGCAGAGGGAAGCCGAAGTTTTGTCCATTCCGGCTTTCTACTGTAAGTTATTTGCATTGATATAAGTATGGATCAGGTCTACATTTCTTTCTGCATGTTTTCCAGTTACGCTGATTGCATGGTATATTATGTTTTTCAAATGTGTATCTGGTTTGTGCTGTGATAAAAATAAATATGTTTTTAAAAGTGGATAAAAGGCCTACAGGTGGGCTCTGCTTTGGGAGAAGTTATTCAGTGCTTCCAGGACATCAACTGGCGAAGGCCATGTGGTGGTCCATGCCTCTTACAGACAGACATCCCAAGCAATCTGACAATTTCTCCCAATAAATATGCAAGTCACATAAATATGTAAAATATCAATGACAGTAAATGCTTTAAATTATCTGATAAAAGAAATCCATCTAGTGTTCACAAAATATGAATCAGAAGTCATTTTGTGATTTTGAAAAGTTTTTCCCTTTGTAGTTTTGAAAAATCGGGGTATTACATGAAATAAAAGCATATTCATATTAATTAAAACATTGGTAATGAAAGCTTACTTTTGGAAATTGAGCCAAGCTATGGTTCCCTACATGTGTAAATATAACAAATTCTTTTTTATTTATTTATTTTGAGGCCAATTTTGAAGATATGCACTTTTGCTGTTATAATTGTGGGTAATTTTGTCTTCCTATAGAAAGTTCAACATGAATTGTTGTCCGTTTATGCAACCCAATTGCTCGAGAAGGAGCACTCTGGATGTCATGCATTGCTTAGGGATGACAAGGTAGTCATTTGGACCATTTTTTTTTTTATCAGACTTGGACAGTGTTATTATTCAAGCCTTCTTGCTGTTATTTCAGTTGCAATTAACTAAAGTTTATTAACATTTTTTTCCTGTTCTCTTGTAGGTAGAGGATTTATCAAGGATGTATAGGCTCTTTTCCAAAATACCTCGAGGTTTAGATCCGGTTTCTAGTATATTTAAACAGGTTTTGGTCTTTAACTTGCTGTACATTGTTCTGTAAAGAATGTAGCATTGTGCCTCTGGTATTATTTGTTTCTTCCCCTTGTTTATTTTGAAGTTTCGCTGGGTTTTTCTTTATGCAGCATGTTACTGCTGAACGTACAACATTGGTTAAACAAGCGGAAGATGCAGCCAGCAATAAGAAGGTGATGTAATCTTGATTGTGTTATTTCAGATCCCATAGTCTTTGTGCAATTTGTCTTCTGAGGAGGTGCATTTCACAAGGCTCATGATTGATCTGCCATTACATTGGACTTGGTTAACAAGTTAACATGAATCAGTCATATAAAATTATAAATCTATCTTATTGTGCATGTGCTAACTAGATGAAATCATTATGCATGTATTAGTCATACTGATGCATTTGTATTCATTTTTTTGGTGTTGGGTTATTGATACATGTGTATTTATGGAACATTGTTACTCTAATGAATTTGTGATTTAATATTGCACCAGCGTGCTTACTTGCTTTTAAGTTCAGGATAACAAAATTCAATGTGAGGGTAAAAGTATTTGCTCTAATTAAATGCACCAGATGCTGGGCATTTAAATCATAGTGTGGGACTTTTGGGTGGTCTGCTTCTTTGACTAACAGAAAAACATGAAACTGATGGGGCGAAGCACACTCTTATAAACTCCGATCTAAAGTTTGATTTGGATTTCTCAAAGAGGGTCTTCGAGAGTGACTATTGTGGACTCTCAAGGTCTGAAATTGGTGTAATAAAGGGTTTGGTTTTGGAGTTATGCAGTGAGGTTTAATTGGTTAGAAGGGGCAAGGAAAGGGTTTTTTAAATTCTTTGAATGGAATCTGGATCTGGTAATGGTGATAGAAGTGCAGGGGACGATGCTGGAGCTTCTCAATCAACTAGATGGATTTGAGCATCTAACAAAATCAAAGTACTGATTTCTTGTTTCATTCTCATAAACTAGCAACATGTATGTGCACCTATGTTAGTTATCTGCTCTTTTACTCTTATGTTGACTCTAAGCAACAAATGAGTTAGCTTTGGTTTATTTAATGTTAAATGCCCTAGAATCCTGAACTACAAGTGATGCTCTGTAAAATCATTAATTACATGGGTTTGGTATTTAGATGCATTCCTATTTTTTGCTTTTATTACATGTGTTGGTATTTGTTTGCAGTCAGGCACTCTCTGACCACAGCACATTCCAGGCTAGTTAACATGCAATTTTTCATGTGGTTTCGTAACGGGCTTTGTCTTCTGTCAACTTCCTCTTTTTACGTTAACAAGTTATGATCTTACGATCTTACGGGTATTACAAGTTTTGCAGGTTCAGGTATCCCTTCTTCTTATGGACCGAGGGCTTATTTTTTACCGATGAATTTTTTTACAGGTTTCATGCTGTGACAGAGGATTGGATTTAACTGGGTTTTGCAGATCACATTTGAAAGGATTGTGAAAGACTCCCACTGAGTTAGTAAAGTATGGCCCGCAATGTTGTAATTTTTTATTCTAGTATCTGTATTCTATCTATCTAGGTAATTATTCTAATGTCCTTCTCTTCTCTTCTCTTCTCTTCTCTTCTCTTTCTTCCTTACCCAAAACCCCTCTGCAGGTGTGTGGCAGAGAAGAAATAAAATTTACTTTTTGGAAGTTCAAATCTTGTTAAAACAGGTGTTTAATTGTGTTTTTTGCTTGTATTTCATAGGTATTAAGTCTGCATGAAACCAATGTTTCAATTTGTGTTCTGATAATTGACTTTCTCATTCATTTTGTTAATCTTAGTAATCTATCAAACCAATGTTTCAATTTGTGTATATATATAGATCCCTGTGTTCTTTTTGGAGGGGCATCTAATTTTGGTGACTCTTTAATGTAATTCAAATGATTTGTGTGAATTTTTTTTTTTTACACAATGAGTGTGGACTATCATTTGATAAGATTTTACTATGTGAATGGGAGTTATTATTTCATATTAGTGTTATTTTTCAGTTTTATTAGTTTTTTTTTTTTTTTTTGGTTCAATAACCTAAAATTAACACAATTAAAAAAGAAAAAAAAAAGAGGGCTATCACGGCGTTTCTAAAAACGTCGTTAAATAACATTAGAGATACAACGGCGTTTTAAAAACGTCGCTAAATAACATGCTGACGTCATGTTACCGTTAGTAGAATTTTTAACGGCATTTTTAAAAACGCCGCCTATTGTCATATAGCGACGTTTTTAAAGCGTCACAGAGTTATAGCGACGGCCGCATCTTCGGCGTTTGGTGTAAAACGTCACAAAAATATTTAACGGCGTTTTTAAGACCTATTGCGGCGTTTTTAAAACGCCCCTAAAACCTGAATTTCCAGCAGTGAAAAGTACACATACGACTGAAATTCATTTTGAATACTAGCAAAATACATTTAAAATAAATCACAACTACCCAATAAATTTTTATATTTTCTTTCTGCAGTATGGTTCTGTAAACTTATAGTCAAGTTCAGGTTTTAAATAGACTACATATTATTTTACTTTCACAATGCAGCCTTTGATCAATCGCAAAAAAATAAAAAAATTGCAGCCTTTTAGAAATGGGGCTTAAATTGAGTGCTTCACTAGCGTCTCTTTGAGCCAACCCTGATAAACCCTGACATTACCTAACAAGCAAAATAATTAATTTGTATATATACATATATATACGCAGAATTTTGAGGTTAATTGTGTTTCCATTATTTTAAATTCATATTTCACAAAAAAAAAACAAAAAAAAAACATTTACTTATAATTTCAAAACAAAAGATCTTAACTTAAATTCATAATGTAAAAAATAAATAAATAAATTCATTGGCACATCAAAATTTTGTATGAAAATTTCACTTATATATCGTTTTCAAAAAGAAAAAGCCATAGACCCTGAATTTAAATGCATATATATATATGGGGGTTTTTTTTTTAAGCTCCCTAATAATAACAATTTTCTGCATAAAGGACATTAAAAAATGTAATACTGCTTCAGGTCCCTAACCAAAATACCCGCGCATTTTATCAATTTCTTAGACCAAAATACCCTACGTCTGTTCATTTAAAGTAAAAGTCTTTAGATTTTGTAACCTAAGTAAGAGAAAAACACTATTTTTAATAATGTATATATGATTGTTGAGTTTTTTTGGGGGTTTTTTTTTTAAGCTCCCTAATAATAACAATTTTCTGCATAAAGGACATTAAAAAATGTAATACTGCATCAGGTCCCTAACCAAAATACCCGCGCATTTTATCAATTTTTTAGACCAAAATACCCTACGTCTGTTCATCTTCAGATGAGTTGATTTTTTTGACCTGAATGGTACAATTTCAATGCGTGTTTAAACCTTTTCAATCTCAATTTTTATCATTTCTGGTTGTAGGAATGAGAGATGATTCAAAGGAATTTGCGTTGGAATTGTTCGATGCTCTGAGCAGACGACGAAGGTTGAATGTTGACAAGATCAGCAGAGATGAGCTTTACGAGTATTGGTCTCAAATCACTGATCAGAGCTTCGATTCTCGACTCCAGATCTTCTTCGACATGTATGCATTATTATTTTTTCTTTTCAAAAAAATTTAATAGATGTATATATATATGATACATACACACATATATATACAATCTGTTGCTTACTGTCTTGACTAGTATATATATGATAATTAATCAATTAAGACCATTTGCAACCATAATCAAACAGTCACTCTTAGTAATCTTATCTATGGTTGCAAACATATATACATACATATATATATATACAATGTCAGCACATATATATGTATCCAATGTTGAATATAACATCTTCAGGTTCAAAATTTCTCTGAGTGTTGAATATAACGTCTTTTGATTTTTTGGGTTTAGTAGAATTGGAGTTTTTTTCTGGAAAAGCAATATTTGGACCCCTAGTTGAAGAATATTGGAAAAAGAAGCTTGAGGAAGAGGTAGCAGTAGAGGAAAGCTTAAAGTGATCCAGAGAAATTTGAATTTTCTCTGGATTCAACCTAGAGAAATTCATACCATTAAGTTTAAAGAAAATCTATCACAAACTCATAGAAGAACTATTAATTTGTTTGTGCAGGAAATTGTGATTGAATCAGCAGCAGCAAAACCAATGACAAATTGATCAAATCAGAGTTTTATCGTTCCAGAGAAATTCTAGACCAAAGAAATTTGAATTTTCTCTGGGTTGAATCCAGAGAAATTCCTTGAAAGTCCAGAATTTCTTTGCTTCCAACTGATGATGGGTTGCTTTCCTTCCAACTGTCAAAATTGAACTACTTTCTGTGCATTTGGGGCTTCTTATTGAAGCTTCTTGTGTTCTTGTTTTTGTAAATTTCTCTGGCTTGCTACATTTGTGTTTCTCTATTGTGTAATGTTATCTGGCATGTTTATGTTTCTTCATTATTTTCTCAAGCAAATTATCTGTGGCTTACTACTCTATTGGTGTGGCTAATTTTCTCTGGCATTTATAATTTTCTCCGGCCAAATTACTTTTCTTACTTGTGTGTCTAATTTTCTCTGGCAGCATTTATAATTTTCTCTGGCCACATTATGTTTATGTCTTGTGTCTAATTTTCTATGGCATATATATTTTGTTCAATGCTACCTTGTAATTTTCTCTGGGATTTAATGTTTATGTTTTCATTCTATAGAAATGGCAAAGCGCAGAAGCAGCACAACCCCAGAAACCCCGAAAAAGAAACCAAAAGTCTCTGTGTCTGCGTCTTATGATCTTAGATCAAAACGCAGCAGCAGCACCAGAACACCACAAAAAAAACAAGTCCAAGTTGAAAAAGCAATAAGCATCAAGATCAAGACACCAACTTCAAAGGTGATTTTCACTCAACTACAAGCCTAACATTTTCTCTATCATTTTCATTGGATTATAATAACAAACCTACGATTTTCTCTATACCACAAAGAAAAGAGGAAGGGCGTCTATGAAACTAAGAGAATAGATATTAAGCCCAATAGTGCACTAGTATGATACACAAATGAGGGTCAAGGGCACCCGATCTCTCTGTTGAACGTATCCGCTCTTTCTTTCTAGTCTGCCTAGCTAGCTTTCCTTCCTTTAGTTAGGAAAGCAAAGTACACGATTCCCTTTCAGTCGAATATATTATATTACCCGGTTAAAGCCAAGAGGTTAGCAGGAAGTTCGAGTGAGCTATCCTAAACCTAAGAAGGAGGAGGAGGAAGGTATTGAAGTTAAAGGGTCCGACTAAGGAGCTTGAATTGAAGTCAAGTCTAAGGCAGCATCGAATGATTTCGAGATAGAGTGAATGTCACGACGATCTATCAAGTTTACAATTTTCTCTG